GGTAAGCTACGATAAAATTGTATAAATTAAGAAGTTCTCTTTCATTTGTACCGAAATTATGGTGAATTTTCGTTATTAATATTTTTTGAAATTTTCATTCGAGGATAATTCTTTTTCGTAATGATTGTTAAAAAAAAATAAAATAGAAGATAAGATCATTGTTATAGATATCAAATCATCGGTAACCAATGCATCAGAATTGTGTTACTGTACAATCAAAACAAAAAAATGCTTTCCATGATACAATTTTTATTAAATGGAATGTACAAATACGCTAAAGGGAATCTTAAAATGTATCACAATGAAAGAGCTTATTTTAGTTTCAAGGCGCAGACAAAAACTCATTTATACTGCAGAAAAATATTTTTATTATCATTGTATTCGATTATCTCTCCGTAGACTCGCCGTAGACTATGTAACGTCGTAGCAACGTAGAATGTAGCAACGTCGTTGTTCCTCTTAAGTTGAGAACTGAGATTAGCTTCCTATATTTAAAAGGCAATCAGATTTTAATTAATATATTGTTGTGTTTATGTTCTAATTGCTACAATCCGTAACCTATTTTGAATTATTAATTCTGAAGTACCGGCATTAGCAGATACTGAAACTTGGAAAATTTCAAGGAGCCAGGCACTTGTATATCAAAGGAAATTATATGTCTCGTTAAATCGAGACAAAATATGTCCCCATTCGCTGCATACACATGTTCATGAAACCGAATTATATATTTAAAAAAATATATGTTAAGAGTGTGATTTAAACTGAATATATTCAAAACAAAGTGATAAAATGGTTGTCTATTAAATAGAATGTGGCGATTAAATCAATATAAATCTAGAATTAGGTTTTTTAGTTTTTAAATTAACACACGTTGGAAAAATGTAGACAAGCACTAATTGTTAATTATTTTAAACATAATTATAATAATCATTTTCTTTACTTTACTTTAAACATAAAATAAGCACAGGTTGGGTAATCCTAACCGTTTAAACTATGTTGCGCAAGTTAAACTAGAAGCACCGAGATTATACAAAGATTTTCATTTGAAAACTCAAATATTTGAATAGGGATAAGAAGTCGATGTTACACTTACCAGGTTTCCAATTTGAACTTTATTAAGTTCTAATTAGCTTCAAGATATAATTATTTTCATTAAAAGCTATTGCATGTAAAATAAAATAGACGTAAGAGAGCATGTGGTCCTATGAATATAATTTGAAGGAGCGGAATTTATATGCGATCTAATTTTATAAATGAATAATCTCGGTTTACGTAAAAATGTCTATTGCGAAATACATTCTTCATTTAAGTAGTTTTAACTTCGTAAAGTCACGCAGCAGTTTTAGCTGCTGTAGAACTGGGGAAAGCTAGCTGGAGAACCACGACCAGTACGAGATGTAGAAAAATTATAATTTTGATTTTCTTTTGGTGAGGGGCTGAGTCTCTGCTGAAAGTCGATTAGATCTCGTTGACAACAAGTGAACGGCCCACTCGCTTGCTATCTTCTCACACAAAAAGTAAGCCATGATATTATTATTTCTTTCTGGTTATTGGCATCTTTTGAAATTTTGCAAGTTGCAGCGTTTTGTTTAATTCATCGGTGTCTATTACTTTTGTTTAATACATTTGTTTCAAAAACATTTTTTTCCCCAAAGCCAGTGTCCTGTTTAAATCTGAACAGTGTATAAAACTTACTAGGTCATTGTTCGTATGACCGTATGTACTGTATTTTGTACCTTATACACTTTATTTCTTTAACAAAGGTTACACAAATATGATAGTAACGAGTTCTGAAATAAGTTCGCTACGTTGTACCTTACGCGAGGCTTATCAATACGTAATACCTATTTCACCAAGGTCTGGTTGGGTTTTACATTCGCGTTACAAATAAATAAAATTCTAATTTACCAAGTGCTCCTTGGTAAGGAAAACATAATGTTGTTTTATGTACTTCTAGACAGAGTGACATTTAGAGATATTTGGAAATAAGTGTAAGCAAATTGTTTTTTTTTTACTATTTACCGGCAGATAATGTTCCAAAATAACTGGACAAGAAAATCTCTGAACTCGAACACTTAAAAGTTAAGGCTCTATATTTTTCTAAAAAGTTTTACAAGGTAATAATTGATAGAAGTTTTAAAAGCTTTCTCTCCTATTATTCACCCCTTCATTCCTATTATTCCCGTTAGTTTATTTAACTTAAATTTCTAGGAAATATATTAATGAATTATAAACCCGAAATTAAAAAAAGTTATTTCGTTAAGTTTCTCCTCTTTTGTCAACAACTGATTTTTCCAATATGTTTGTAATATATTTTGTAATCTTGAATTAAAAACAAAAACATAGTACGACCAAAACTGAAGAATATTGGCAGCTTCTAAATCATAAATAATATTAGAATTCAAAGTCAGTAACAGGCTAAAAAACTTACCTTGTAATTTTTATACGTGAGTCATTCTTGAGTTATCTACAATCAAAGAAAAAGTTGTACCATAGCAAGAATATAAAACTATGAAGCGAGCAATTTTATGGATGTTGAAAAGACGTGACTGGCTTTACGCCTCCCGATTTCCTTTTGCCATGTACGAAGTATATTGTTTATGTGGAATGTTTTATTTATATCATACGTAACAGAAAAACAAGCCGTTGATTAAGACTATAGGACTACATGACCTGTGTAATTTTTTTATTTGCCTCTTGTCACACATGATAGATGTTTTATTTTCTTTATTTAATCAGTAGGTAATGTTGTAACCCTACCCAAGATAACATAATACTGTTTGGTACTAGGATTTGCATTTCATCAGCACAAACGAACACCCCGACCGTGTACTTAATAACGGCCTTGAAGTTTATCACTTAGCATCTACACCAACTGAATAATCAAATATCTCTTATGAATGGGGCCTAGAAATATTTCAATACATGGAACGTATTCCCATTTTTATATGTAAAAAACACTAATATAAACCATATTACTAATATAAACACTAATATAACTCGATATTATCTTTCTCTATGTATATTATAGTAAGAGTTGTTTCTAAAAAAATTAAGTTTCTTTAAATATGTGTACAGTTCTTCTTTTTGTATTATTTTTTTAATATCATTTAAATATAATATAATATATAATTCAAATATCTCACTGTGTTAGGACCACGCAACAGTATTCGCTGTTGCACGAATGGGCAGGTCCGTTTTGGTTAGTACCACGATCTCACAGTATAAGTGTTACACTTCTGCGTTATGTCTGGTGAGTGAGGTAGCCGGGCCCACATTACTAAACGATGGCAGCACATCTGCAAATGGTGATGTAAACGACGATCGTTTACGGGCGGCGGTTATCACTTAACATCAGCCAGCTCGTTTGTCACTTTTTCGCATAAAAAATATTAATCATTTTTATCTGACTGGTAAATTCACTAGGTAAATTTACCGTGTAACTTATTAAGGTTTTTTATATAAATAAAAAACTGAATCCGAAGTAGAATAATAATGCGGCTCAAATTGATGAAACATAATAAATAGCACAATTTAGTTTCCGAACGATTTTTGAAAAAGTGGTATAGTGTAAAAAATAAGATAAAGCTTGCTCTTCTGCTGCGGTTCTATTATTTTACAATTCTGTGAAGATTCACTGAATCTGAAATCTTATTGGATTCCGCACTTCAGTTTAATGCCACAAAGAAATTTATAATTCAAGCGGAGCGCTAGAAACTTTTTATAAAATGAAACCTGTACCCTTTAATTTTGAAAGTATGAACGAAAAACATTTCATTTATTACTCATTAATTTTTATTTATACAAGTATAATATTACTGTTCCAAAAATTTAAAGCCTTGTCGTAGATTACAAATTATTCGGGAAGTTTTTTAGATTTAGTTACAGTAAAATTTAAAATTCATTCAGAGTAAAATGATTAGGACTTGTTTTAAATAATGAGAGTTTAAAAATAAAAAAAAATAAAAAGTAATTATATATATAATTATATTAATATATCGTATTTATTTTTATATATTTTTACAATGCTGTGAGTAAAGTGCATTTTAAAATATATAATTGTGAGACCAGATTTTTTGACTACTCCCATATAGTACCTAGAACTTTTAACTGGTGTATACGGCACCCCAGTGTCAAGTTCTAGGTACATTTGGCCAGTTGTTCAAGAAACTACCACATTTTTTCATACTCGTCACACAATATTCATAAATATTATGAACACTTTCAATATCTTCAATATTATAAAATTACTTTCATACATTATATTTATGTAAAAAAAAAAACATTATAAAATTGAAATAAGAATAAGAATTTCTTCGGATTGAAATAACTACTCATATAAAATATCTTTGACATTTAGAAAAATCCATAACCATCGCCATTTTAATTTTTCATGCTAAAATTGTGTTTCAATCGTTCATCTTCATATTTACAAATATTTAAATTTAAGTTAAACATCCACATATGTAACAACTTTTCATTAAATCGAATTATTTACATTTTATATGATATTTTTAATTAAATATTAGACATTACATGTAATGGTAAATATCTGACACGTACCCATAGCAATCTCATCTCAAGTATACAAAGTTACTCTATGCCCATAGTTTCACTTAACTGCAGTATTTATTTAGGCGTATTAATTATTACAGATATAGAAATATATGTAATGTCACATTTTATATACAAATCACACTAAGGTGCAAGAAAATTGTATGTGATAAACATAATTCCTATATTACATTCAGTTGTAAATTAAAAACTATTAAGTAAAAGGAGAATTAAGAGAAAGTGAAAAAAAAAATTGTATATCAATATTTTGAACGTCTATTATCCATATAAAGTTACTATTTACATACACGCTCATGGTGACTATAAAACTATATTAAATAAAGCTCTCGTTTAGAGGCATTGTTGTCTTTCGAGAAATGCTTTCTTCGACTCCTATACGACAGTAAGAGTACAAGGTCCACGCAACACAATTCACTTCTGTCCTAAGGGCTCACATTCTCCGTGACCCTCTGTTTTTTTCTATTTCCACTGCCACCGCTCACGATCTTCAATAACCTCACGGCTGGAGCTTCGAAAGCTAGTGATATGGCGAATGAAGCCAGAAACGCCATCACAGCATACCCAGCGTATATAGTTAACTGCGAAATATTTCATAAATATTAGATTCAATGCAAAACACCATCATTATTTCAAATACGATGTAAAGATAACATTTTATTTATAAAACATAAACATATAGTATAACATAAATTTCCACAGTGTAGATAAATTGTTCAAACAATTTTCGCTAATGCTAGGGCACTGCGCCCAGACGCTCTATGTGTAAACCTTGCCATTATTATTAAATTGCATGTATTGCATTATTGCATTGCATTGTATTCATGTGACCCATAAATAATAAAATATATATATATATATATATATATATATATATATATATATATATATTGCAGTTGATCCAGTTGATAAGTCGTCACAAAGCTAACAATTATGAAAAACAAAGTTAATCATTAATCACATCAATTAAACAAAGGAATATCTGCTTAAAAATATACTTTATTAGTTTCCATTAAATTCATAACCTACAGATGAACTACGCTTTTAGTGTTGTTTAATTAAACAAAATACAGCAACAGTGTAATGAAAAACTCATATCGGTAGTACGGTCACGGAAAAACTTCTGACGTCGCACTAGTGGGCAGGTTTGTCGTGAGAAGGGCTATGGTAGCCATACAGAAATAAACGTGAAGTAGAAGTATACTTTTACGTATCGTCAAATCATTGGATAGCTGAGACCCATTGTATTTAAAGACTAGCAGCGCACCCGCAGTCGTTCAGGTGTTGGAGATATAGGCGGCAGTAATCACTTAACGTCTGGTGAACTGCCTACTTGTCAGCTTAAAAAATCTATACATACAACTATAGAGTTTTGTAGATGCAAGGGTCCGTCCATCAGGAAGGACGTGTACATCATGATGGTCGGGTGCACGAGGTAGGCGCAATAGGTGAGCCGGCTCAGCGGCAGCAGACCGCGGTAGGACAGCGCCGAATTGACCAAACCACCGTAGCCGCAACAGCACGATATGGCCACCCAAGCTAACGCCACGCCCCAAGCTGGGAATAATCGTAACGCATATGTTCATTTGTTTCTAAACCATAAAAAACTCACATAACTTTAAACATATCGTGATGAGTCCTGCCAAAGTACATAGAATAGAAATTTGTACGTAATATATCCGAAAAATACATTTAGGACCTCGATATCCCAAGTCTGATCGGCACGGAGGGTACTAGGACATTGTCCACCAACCGCTAAGCACGTGATAAGTCATCACTTAAAATTAACAAATTTTATTGGAGCCAGCACCGGGATTTGAATTCAGGTTGCTCGAGTATATTGAATTAAAAGCGAGCACCCGGACGCTGAGATATCACGGCTCTTAAAATCCACATTAATTTTATTCAACGTATTTTGTAGCAACGTATAGCAAGTATTTTGCTTAATAAGAAAGAAAGAATGAAAAAAGAAAAGAAATTTTTACACTTTGAAACATTTTCCTATTAACAGACGGTTTCATTAATTCTATCTGTAGATTGGTTACTGGAGATAGAATGTTGACGTAAGTATTAGGAGCTAATGTCAAATGTCTAGTACGAAATCTACAGATAGATAGAATATTGAAAGTTAATGCACAATAGCAATCTCCTTATTATTGAAATATTACTTTTATAATAACTCACTTAGTATTTGTGAGAGATCTTTTTCAGAAATGCGTCAAATTGTATTCACCTGTATGTCCAATGCTGACGTAGAATGCGGTCGGCCAAACTTCAAAGTAGCCGTCGACCATGCCAAAGATTAGGCTGCCTATAATAACTAAGGCACAGGGCCAACCCACAGCCACCAGCCAATAGGGCATCTTCACTTGGCATTTCGTCTTGTGTAGATACCATCCAACGATCATGCCTTATACACGGAGATAAAGATAATTATCTAACAAAATAAGATTCTATAGCTCATTTGAATTTTAAAGATGAAAAAACAAATAAAAGATATATATTTCTTATATATGTTTTTAAGGAAACCATGTTGTCATTGTAAAAGTCACCCGGAAAAAGAGATTGTTGACTTGTTCATACAAAATAGTAGGTATTTCCTATTGAACTTGAGTCTTTTTTTTTTCTTTTATCCCCCACTAGCAAAAGGACGCTTACAACAATAGCCGTTTGCTAGCCAGGTGTGTTTCAAACAAGTAAGAGTGTTGTTCTCCGGCTACCTCACACAACGGACAAAACGCAAAAATATAAATACTTTTACATTACGGTCGTCCTTTTGTACTTCCCCGATGGGACTTCCCCGGCTTCTATCCAATTCTCGCAGCAGGATTTATGTAACCTGCTATTTCTCGACCATATTGTGTACATCCCAAATATGACGTAACACAGTCTTATAAATGAGGGAAAGTTCAGTCAACAAAAAGGCTGGATATATTTGAAAGCATATAATAATAGAACTGAATATATTTCCAACGATGGTATATTTCACCAGCGAATTGTAATAAGGTCCTGATATACGAGTATCTGAAAGCGATCTCCATAAAATGAAATTTCAGGACTTTATGAAAAGCGATCGATTGTGATAATAAAACTGAACGCGTATTATTTTCATGCGGCTTCTTTATGGCCGTCCGTTTGTCCTTTTATTACGGAAATACACGTGTCTTCCGAAACCATCACTGATAAGTTTTTGTAATTTGTCAAACTGTCAATTACAACATTAACAATTTTATAACAAAAATTCCATTAAATGTATACATACTATTGTACATATATGTAGCACATTTAGTCACATACAGGTAATAAAACCGTGTTGTTACATCACAGGGTTCTTTTACCATTTCTAACACAATATGTCAAAATCGGTAGAAAATAGATAGGTCCACCTAATTTATTAAAAAGTGGCAAAGTCTGCAAACATATGGGTGTTGCAAATGTCCATGGGTGGTGATTAACACTTACCATCAGGCGAATCACCAGCTCGCTTGTCACCTTTTTAGATAAAAAAAAATCTTGATATACGCATACTGTGTGTGTAGTCCTTGTCTGTCAAACGAGAGTTATATATGCATTTTATAGGTGTCAAGGGATTTTTATACTCACCGATTAAGTACGGGCCGATTCGAGACCAAGGCTTATCGTACAGCGGATCGAACATTTCGAAGGGTTCTTGGATCCGAGCCTTGTACTGGTGCCAAACTGATACGTAGATAGTGGTTGCCCATGAACTTGCGAGTAGCGCAAAAAGGGATATCACAGCAAACTTAATATGTCTGTCAAACGAAAAATTCAATAAATATTCTCTTTTAACTTTAAAGAATCTTGAATTAAATAAAAATCAGTCCACTACAAACTATATTAATTTCCTCACAACATTTTTGAAATATCAAATATTTCATAGAGATTTTATGATTAAGCATATGAATGAAGCACTTCCTATCTTAGCTGAGTTAAACCTCATGTAATACCGATGCATTGCTATTGAATTCCAGCTTGATTCTCGCCTTGGACATGATTTCAAGACTATCTTAGATTTCACATCAGAAATCTTAGGTAAAGGCTTCGTTGTGTTGTTAAAGTAAACGAATGATGTAAACGATATATTTTCCACATACCAGATGCACCCAAATAAAAAGTTCTACTTACTTCACAGAGATCAACAGTAAAATGATCCCAACAACATAGAACTGCGTGTCGTTAGCCATGTACCACGACCACACCATACACATCTCCCTCTGCGGATACAGGTTGTTTATGTACAGCAAGTTTCGCCACCAGTATCGATCGCACGTGATGTGGTCGAATATCGCCGGCTCGAACACAGTCCGGTCGTGGGTGTACCTCAGCGCCACCTCGTTTAGGCCAATCACGAACGCGTAGGCCGGCGTGAGGCGCACCAGGCGGTAAAGCACTAGGACAAAGAACGATTTGACCATCCCGAACACTTCCCGCTTCGAGTACACGTTGCTCTTCGGCGTATCCACCAAGTCCTCGTAAAACGAGTGCTGGCTTAGCACGGACACCGACACGGACAGAGCCGTATTAGTGAAACCGTTCGCGTTCTTATTGATATCTATGTCCGCTTTCTTCTTCTCTCTGGCAATTCTTCTTGCTATTGCTTTGTCTTCACTTCTTAAAAACAGCACGGTCACAAGCAACCCGCTGAAAGTTTTATAACATTTAAAGCAAGCAATTTATGAAATAATGTTGTTTTTCGAAAAGATCATGAGTTCATACTACATGACAGGTGACTTAATGAGACTACGATTAAACTTTTACGTGTCAGCTGTTGTAACTTTAAATGATTTAATTACTAGCTTACGCTGCATCATAAATAAGCCGACATTATTTAATTTGATGTCTTATCATTAGAAGCGCTTCACAAAATGAAACACGAAATCTCTCAATAACGGTTACCTGATGAAGAAAAACGTATCGACACAAAATGACGCATTGCCGACAGACTGGTATAAAAAATTTCTCTCGGTCACTGTCCTCATTGTCTTATTGTCTGCGATATACCACACGGTCAAGTATGTGTGAACCATTATCACCCAGATCACTGACATAAATCTGAAAATATAAAAAAATGTCGGAAATATTATGCGGGAAATTGTTTACGTAAAGCATTTTTGATGCAAGACTTTAATGTTTTAATATTTTATTTGTATATAATATCATTGTTTGAGATCTTTATTAATATGGTAACGTCATGTAATATTCTATAATCCTAATTATTTCTTTCACACAAACGGGAAAGAAATAATTAGGGATAAAATTAATTATACCTAGGTTAATAATTGTTTTGTATGTAAATAAATTACATATTTTCTAATAGAGCTAGTTAGTCCATGCGGCATGGTGCCAGCTAGCGAGCTGCATTTCCTCGCTCGTTATGGTTAGGACGTAAATCTGTCAAAAATTTCGAATACGGGGACCGCACAGACCCAAAGTTTTAACAGCAAATGGCAAAATTACATAATCTAAACAAATATATAAATTATGTTACATATATTATGTCTTTAATTTATGATGGACTACTGATCGTATCTTTAATTATTGTTCAAAGCTGAATTGAATGCGCTCTCAAAAGCTATAGCTCGTAATAAGTAATTTAATAAAAGCTGCATTGCTTTACCTCATTCCATGTAAACAAGTGAGGGCTCCATCATTTGGCTTTTGCGTGCTAAGGATCGCTCTACCGTTTGAAAGAATCGAAAAGGATAATATCAATTCAGACCACACTCCTGAAAATGTATTTACAATAGATATATATCGTTTTTAATTATATAAAATGTATATACTGTATGTATGTGTATACTGTGTAAATGTACTACTATAATACTAAATATACACATACAAATCACTTTTCTCTGAAGTTAAATAAATTTAGTTTATGAAAATTATTGGAAATAATGAATTATTGTACGAAAAATAGATGCTAACATCAAATCTATTGAGTCTTATATATTTCGCATAATCTTATTATTTCATTATCTTCGAGTTGACTAGTTAATAATTGTTTCTTTCTACTTTGATATAATTTAGCAACTTACCGCAACGATCCCGACGAATTTCTTTACTGTCTTCATCGTCTGTCTTGTTATCGGTTTGTGATGAGTTCGTAATTGTCTGTAAATACGGTACATGAGAATTAACGATCACGAATATTACAAGAAAAATAAGTGGATATAGTGGATTGAAACGTTTGCGGCATCATGTAAAAATACTTATTCTATTTTTAGTACTCTCATTAGCTATGTCTTATTTAATCAAATTAATGATCGCGTTCACACGTCTATTGAATCCATAGCTCAATTTGTGACTTTGTTTCCATATAATGTTACATATAATGTTATTCTACGATTCCTCTCTCGATCTCCGAAAAAACACCATAATGGCCAAAAATTATCGTTTAACAAATATATCCAAATTGCAGTTAATCACTTTCTTTTTATAATTTTATTCTTTCTGACCGCCTAGAAGTATTGAAGAGCAATCGGAATGAACGTAAAATCTGATTAAGTCGAAAGTAATATAAATTTTGTGTATATTTTTATAACCGATCCGCGAACTAACCAATCCACCCTGACAGTTTTAGATAATTAATATCCAAAGAATGATTTTATAGTCATGTGATTTTTAGTTATTTAAAAAAACCTTTCTGTAACAAATATTTAACTACTAAGAACACGTATTAAATAAAAAATAAACTAATTCTGCCATAAAAAAAGGTACTAGCGTCATGGGAGAAGAGAGGTTACATAAAATGATCAGGGTAATGAAATTGGATTTATTTCTTCATCTGATTCGAAGCAATAATACGTGACTATTGGCAAGGTACTTAAGGCACTTAAACCATGAAGCTATCTGTAAATAATAGATATATTAAACTAGCGACCCACCCGGCTTCAATGTATTATACATATAAACCTTCCTCTTGAACTCTCTAGTTTACGTAGTTTTAAAGACTAAGCATACATAGGGACAGACAGACAGCGGGACGACTTTTTTTATACTGTAGTGATGAATAATTGACGACTTGGGTTTACTTTAGCTTAATATTCGAAAGAAAAATATACAATTATTTTAAATTCATTATAGCTTATATGCACCAGGAGGAAAAAAGAAAGTTGGCCAGTATTTCAAGACGTTAAATTAAATGTCCGATGGATATACAAACGAAAGTACCAACAGATGGTTTATAGTTGTTATTGTGACGGTTCACTTCGAGATTGAGCCGCTCGAATGCCTTGCGATACTTCCGCTCCAAGTAACCCTCGTAGAAGGACGCCACCAACATCCACAGGGCGACTATTGTCGTTACCGTCCTATAAAAGAGATAAATGTGAGCATTCAAGTATTACAAAATACGAAGGAGTTATTAAACCCCCATCCACAAGTGTATGCCACTTCTTTATTTGATAATACCCCAATATTTGCAGTTTGATGTCCGCGAGTAAATCGTAGGAGCCAGGCACCGGCCGCACATAGAGGGTGCGGTAGCTGGCCGCAATTCCATTGGCGACAGCTCGCTTGTCTGCAGCGGCCTCGGCGAGTCCGAGTACCGCGCTGATGTCACTGCTATTGCACGACGCGGGTACGCACTGCCCTACCAGCATCAGCCTGCTCTGGGAACAACACGCACGGTTAAGACGCTGGTACAATTTTCGCAGGCTACTTCGATATAGCAAACAAAGATCCGACACAGAGCACCCCGACTGCATGTGGTTTTGTTGTCCCTACTCCTAGAGTGAACACAAAAAGGCGGAGCCAGAACCGGCGTTCAGAGTTTAATTTTGTTAAATTTTGTTTTTATTTGCTATATCGAAGTAGTAGCCTGCTAAAATTTTACCGCTAAGTAAGTAAGGGACAACCCGTAGGTCCTTTAGATGTAACGAAAATTTTATTCATTTGTAAACATAGGCCATATATACATCTAAATACAATTTTACTAACGTTAATTTCCAAATTTATGGAATTAATTTTTAGTCTCGAGCTGCAATCAATAAGTTAATTCAGTTTAATTCAAAAGTTAAAAATTTACGACTTAAAGAAGGTGAAAGCATGAGTCTTTTTAAATCTTATATTTTGAAAATCATTGTTAGGTTTACTGCATTTAGTTCTTTATATCCCCAAGGAAATTTTACCTTTTTCTAGATTATAAAAATCCCAAACCAAAAAGCTTATAAAAAGTCCAAGTTCTTTAAAAAACCTTACATTAGGTTAGCTCAATTCAAAAACTATTATTGGCTTTTACACATTATATACTAATAGAACTAGAAGTAGAAGCATTTTATTCCCTTCCGTCACGTCGGGCGAGCGAAGTAGCCGGGTTATATTTTTTGGTAAATAAATGTATTTTCTTTCTTCTTCTTTCTTTTTATATTCTTTAGAAGGTTTGCAACGCAGTTTGCATGGATGTTGGCAATCATTTAACATAAGCACTCAAATTAAAATTTAAAGAATGTCTATAGCTTACTTACTTTAGGTATATGGTCGCCATCAACGGTCAGATTAATTTTCGCCACAAAGAAAGTAGTGTTGAAGGGCGGTGTCTGCTCGTAGTATTGCTTCAGCTGCAGATCGCGGCAGGCGTTCTGTGAGCCCATCCAGTACTCGTTTCCGAACATTACATTGGGACTGTACTGTCCCGAGGCGTCGTATACTGAAAAACAAAAGCATCACTTTTTTCATCGCAGTAATGAATAATTTGGTTGTAGATGTCTTATGGAAAATTTCGCCAATGTGTTTTCATTAACCACATTCAGCGTCTTCAGAGCGTGTTCCTTTTATTACGATAAGTAAAAATAAACAAAAAAAAAGAAGTTAATTTTCGGCAGAGAACAGTCAAATAAATTGAAATCCATCTAAGTAAAATTATAGAGATCTACTCTTGCGCTGCGGCTAGTTATTAATAATATCTGTTACGTGCGATCGAGTTCAAAAAAGAAAGAAAATTAATTTGTGATTCACAGTTTTTACTCATAATTTATTTTTTGCAAAAGTCAAGTCAGTGTAAAACACGAGAATAATAAGGTTTCTCTTACTATAAAACAGATGGAACTTCAGACCATAAGGATCCGAACTCAAAATTCATCTTATTATGGTTCAGATTCGTAAAAATATCTTAATATAAGTTTTATGTGTACTTTTCATAAAAACTTATTTCTTAAATCACCTGGATCGATAATTATGATATATATTATGAAAATAACTCGTACATCCAATAGCGTAGTCCTATGGGACAATAGTCTATCCATGTTTCAACGAGCTTTTTAAATCACAAATGTGTTGAATTTGCGAAGCTTTTTGCCGTATATAAGACAAAAATATTATACAGTGATTTTTGACCGTCAAATTTTGACCAAAACCCATTCGTAATATTAAATTTCAGACATCAATTCGATCAAGCTTAATCGAAATCTTAACGACTTTACGATGTTCAGCCTCATGTATTTACTGATATGAATGAAAGTTGTATTATGACGAATATGACATTTTATTTGAAACGGAATCATAACAGTAAATGCAAACCGTTAACTTTCTTTAATCGGTGTCTAATAACGATGACTTTAAAATAAGAACATGTAATTAATAATAGAAGCAGGATTTCTTTAATAAAAACTGAATTTAATTTAAAATCCGGTTCTTTCAAGATAGAAATTGAAACGATATAGCGTCTCAATTTAGTCCCGAGTCGTTTGATCACTGCAAATGCGACAAGAATAATACAATGACACGCTTATCCCGGATAACTGCACCATTTTGCACTGGAAAGGGTTCGAAGCTGTACTGCAATTGCAACGTTGAGAAAGCTATTTTTCGTTGCAATAACGAGACTGGGGTAATGGCTTTTCAGATCTTAAATAATATTGCAATTGGTTCTGTGATCGCAAAGGTTAAACGTGATTTAATATTTATTGCTTGTATCGTCTGTCTGTATGTTTTCGGTTAGTAATAATTAATATATTTAAATATGAAATTTTGATCAAATAAAATTGAATTTAATTTATGACGCTCTCTCAATAAGTTTACCTGTAGATTGTGATGAAAAGATAATAGAAATAAGGAAATAAAAAAAGGAATAAATAAATTTATATTTTACGAACATAAGTAAATAAAACTATATTTTAACATATATTAACAAGCTAAATAGATTACATTTACTGCTGCATGATACTAAGTTATTTTCTTAAGCGTAAAGGGACTCATTTTCACAATTAAAAAAATCGAATTGAGCAAAAAAAAAATAAACGTCCACCATATAAACGCAATGAATTTCAAAACAATACAAATGTTTGGGAAAACATAAATATTTCCGATTATACTCCTAATGTTCACACGATGATAAAGAATTGTTGTCAATTTTTGGTTACAAGGTGAAAAGGGTAGTTATAGTCTAACATTTACTAAGTTCATTAGACACGCTATCAAGCAAATGTGACATACTCGTTTATATAAAAGTCTCACAGAAATCACAGAAAATGAAATATAGATATTCGTAACCTTCACATGTTCAGTGTTAAATTTGCAGATATAAACATTTAATAATGTTAAAATATGTAGAAAAAGTGCGAAAAGATTGTCGCCGCTGTGGGAATCGAACCCACGTCTTCGCACTTTTTCTACATATTTTAATGTTCAATCTTAAGTGCAAAGATTAGCACTATAAACAATTTAAATTTAATAATGTTGTCAATAAATTTAAGAAATTTATCAAATACTTATGTTTGTTACATGTACAAAATTGTTCAATGTTTTCCTTCCTTTCGATTTTAAGGATGTTTCTTAGGACCTAACGTCTTAAAAATATTTTAAGATGGAAGCTTTGTTGGCAAGTTACGTAATGCGATAATTAAGAGTTATCCGTGAAGTTGCGGTCACTGCAGCATGCCAAGTCAAGGCCGTACACTGTCCCACTTAACATTCTCCATTCAAATGCTGCATTTCCTACAAAACAATGCAATGACTTATTTGTTTGCTATTTGTTTTGTTGCTCTAAGAACGCCATTAAAAATTAGGAGGAATGTGCACGATAACTAGTTTTCAGGTTATAATTACGAGATTAGAGTTGGTAGATTTAATTTAAAACTCTCTCTCAAAAAACAAAACTTGTAAAAATAGATTAGCACGCAATTCACGTAAGTATGGCATCGTGCAATCTCACCTAATCAAAATAAAAGACAACCTTGAAATATACTTTATTAATTATCAGCGTTTAAAATTAAAAGGTCAAGAGCTCTATTTATACAACGTGCCTCTAATGTGTACAACATCGCTATTATCTACGCCTTATATGACCTTAGATTAAACAATAGAGGAACAGGAAATTATGGTGCCTCACGCGATCCTTTTATTTCATTAGTTTTAATTTACGTCCTTGGGAAACATCGCTGACCTGGTCCTGACTGTGAAGGATCAGTAGGGAGAGTTTTTGAAGTTATAGTTCTTGACGCGTTTGGATAAAATTATGATAGAAACATTTTTACGATGCGCACACATACACACACAGCCAAAACACGAGATGAATAAAGGCCCATTTACACGATGCCATTTTCTTGAACATTCAAGAGCAATAATTGAATGCAATAAATTGCGCGCAATAATTGTTTAGACCATTTGTTGTTTAGACCATGCAACTCATTTATTGCTTCAATTTAATTGTATACAACAGGCAAGAAACTGGCATCATGTAAATGGGCCTTAAGTTAGTTGCAAAGCGACTAACTTTTTACGGTGGTAAGGCCACGCACACGGGTTAATTTTTTTATTATTTTACGCTAAATAAGTATAACTTCTTACGTGCGTATGTAAATACACACATACTTTTTTTTCTATGGTAGAACAACAAGATCTTGCAAAATATCTTTTGCTGCATTGAAAGGCGAGGGAGTAGTGAGTTTAAAGTTTAGTAGTGAGTCATTAAATGTAGAGACCCAAACTTTCAGTGTTGGCAACGCTGTAACATCTTTGATGCTTATATAGAAGTTGTACGTTTTCACAGGTAAGGTGAAACGCCTACTTAGTAATAAAACGTAATGAAAAGGCAGAAGTCAACGCTTTGAAATATGACTTAATCTACAAGTATTTCACACCTTATCCAACTCTCTCTATTAATACGTAATTACTATTTATCAAGAAGGTAAGTTACCATCTGCCTTAGATATTGTCATAAGTATTTTTTACATGAATCTTGTAAAAAATCATTACTTATCTCTGTACATATTTACTTACATATTTATAAATATCTCATAAATATTAATTATGATTGTAGATAAGTATTTATTTACTTCATTCATTTAGTTAACCCACACCTTTATTCCTAAATTAATTTCTTTTTAGTCCATCCAAAGGTTGTTTGGAAGAAATTACTCTTAGTAACAAGGCCGCTCATAGTAACCATCACTTCTACATTAAATTTTAATTTTTGTTTGTTTCATTTTTGGTGTGCAATAAAGTATATACATTCATTCATTCATATTTTACAGTGGCAGCAGCGTCTGCTGCTGTACGGATGGGTTGGCACGTCCGGGGAAGTGCCACGGCCACACAGAATGCCGGCGCGAGGGGGAAGTATTATAAGTTTCATCTGATGAGCGAGTTCACCGGGACCCGCCTTTTTTAAAAGCTAGCAACGCATCTAAAAAGCTCTCATGTTTTCTAAATGTTCATGGGCGGTGGTATTCACTTAACATCAGATTAATCACCTGCTCGCTTGACAACTTTTAACTTAAAAAAAATAAGACACTAGCAGTTATTTGGTTGTTGAAAGCTCTATGTACAGAAAAAGTAAATAAAGTTCAGATGTGGTTACGGGTTCATTAAGGGCAAATTCAGACTATTGCGACAACTTGACCTTTAAAGGCACGGCTTGAAAATTCAGGCCAGTGGTGGTTTCATAATCCAGTGATGGAGTAACAAAAATGAAAATTCGCCCCTAATAAAATGTCATATTCGTTACATTCCATTGAGTAAGTAATATACGGGTTGGCAACTATTGTGAAAATATTCAACTGAATTAATTTAATTTCTGCTCTGGTTTTCCAGTGTTATGTTGAAATCGCAATAACGGAATACGAAGTTTTATAAAGAATTCTGCTTAAAGAATATGTTTTATGGATTAACATTATCACTATTAAGTTAATAAATATTAACGATTTAAAAGGAAGCTTGTCTAAAACTTGAATCATAACATTACAAATACAATCATTTTATTTTATTGAACATACATTATTCACCTCAAACATTCTCTTTTCAGAGCGTGTTACATCGTAGCCGACCCATTAGCATTATTAATGACCAAACAATGAATATATGATAGAAATAGAATTTACAACGCAAGGGAAGGTTTTACCAAAGTAGTAAAAAAATTCGGGATCGATGACATAAATGGGATTGGTTATACATCCGTTTGCTAGATATTATGTTTTATGGATTCTATTTAACTATGTTTTTCAATTAAACGATGTTGTAACGTTTTGAAAAATGTATTTAAAAAAAATCTCAAAAAAAAATTATATAGAGCCAAAATCTCATACTTCAGCTGCATTTCAGCAAACGCCATGCTGAAAATAAATACATATTTTATTTTTCAAAATTATAACATTGCTAGTAGTTATAATATAAGGAA